CGGGGAACGGCTCGTTAGTCGCAACAATCACGAGGACATCGACGTTGCCCGAGACACCGTAGAAAGACTCAAGTCTATGAACGCGGCTCAGAATGTTGTGCTGATTTTAGCGCATGAAAAGGAGCGGCTAGACGAGATGATGCCCCTTTTCCCTTGCAGTCTGAACGAGTGGGCCGAGAAGGCACTGAAGAACAAGATGTAAATTCTGTATGACTTTTGCACAGACCATTGTGTATCCAAGCTGGCTCAATAGTAAAGGATCTCGTGCTTGTCCAAATATGCTGAAGGCTGCCGCACCAAGAGATGGATCAGCGGCTCAACTTATTTGAGGTCCATCCAAACGCTCGGCGCCATGTATTTAATGCTTATGAACGATGCTAGGAAGATCAACCTGGATACAGATGAGTAGTAATTATCTGCTGCATAAGGACGTGCGAGCAGCTTGCCAGTATGTGATACAGTTTCACCAATTTCAGGGAACTGTATGTCATCATACGACTTCCACTACCTTCCAGTCTCGCTTTTTGAGTGGTGATGGCGACAGGGTATATCATAATGAGAGGGGATTTGATCAGCTGCGACTGGTCGTGGTTTAGCGGTGGATATGGCAGCTACGCCGCTACGGGAGGAGCCTCCGACCTGAGAAATGATGATATCTGCCTTGTCGTCGAGTTATTCGGATACTGCGCGGGAAGGTGGTGAGTTGGCCAAGGTCCGTTGCACTGGCAGTGGTGTTGATGGCGATTCTACTGGCAGTGCAGGTGATAGGCCGGACCCGAGAACATAAAATGCTTCCTGTAAGTTGAAAGTCAGCCATGCTGTCCGGTGCGTCACACGATAGGCAATGCCTGGAGTCCTATAAGTAGACCAATGACAGGAGGTGGATACACCGTGGCTATACGAAGCCGTTTTGCAGCTTTATAATAATCAATGTTTGACGAGCATTCGTCGGGAAGTATTTTAAGCCGATGTTCAATACAGACTATCTCGCTGATAGCGGCTAGTTGAAGGCCGATGTGAGAGTGAATATATAGTTAATTGAGCGATTGGCGATGATGACCGTTTTTTGTACGTCCGCGCATGCGCGTTTACTCCGGCGCCAGAGAGTGGAAGAAGACTGTCGTGAGATATCTCTGAACCACATACATGGTTTCCGAAGCTTGCTCGTTCCGTATAACTCTCGTGTGAATGTTCTCTTGGACCCATCTTTCCGCGGCGGACCGCTCATCTTTCCAGTCTTGCGTCCGTACTTTACGTTGTCCCGGAATTCCTCAGGCTTTCGCCCGCTTCATGACCATAACGACTGATTGACCCCGACACCGCTATCCTACAGCATAGAGCGTTTTGCGAAACCGAACGGCGGCTATGATCATCACAGAGTCAGAATGGGCTGCGGCCGAATCAGGGGGCTTGCACATTCGCGTAACAACTGAACCAGACCTGCCAAAGCCTCCCAAGTACGACGGTACTTAGTAATTCTTTGCGCTGTATCACTGAATCTCGCTTCACAGCTACGACGATGTCCCTGTGATACGGATACAACCCCAGTCGCCTGGCCTGCCTTCCCTTAGTTCACATCCCGAGCTGCAAAATCGTTGCATTTCGCAGCCAGGGGCAGGACACCGACGACGTTTAGAACGACGGAGGTGTGCGAGTGCATCTAATCTGGCTCTGGACATGGATGGCAAAACCGAGCCCATGGTCGCCAGGAATGGTCAAGCGTGAGTCTCAGTTGCCTATTGTCAGTGCGCCTCATATACATACTGTTCTCCAAGTGTGCTCTACAACTATCTTCAAAAACGGCATTTCGTCCCATTTATCTGTGTTTTCACCCAGCTATCCTTCAATTCTATGATCCTCAGCGGTCGGGATGACGCGACGCCTTACTACCATATATCCGTCCACCTCAACTGTTTTATTCCTTCACTGCATGTCACTACAATTTGCAGAGGAAAGACTTCTGAAGGAGAGCCTGTTGCGTCTTTTGAGTAGGTTATATTCAATATAGCAGTTCATGTTACTTCTGATCCTCTCTTTTTTTCGCTGGGATAGGATGGGGATTGCCGCAAAAAAGAGCACAGTCACGAGGGACGGCCGCGAAAAGCTCATGGATGTCGTATTGTCACGGTCAGGTAGTAAATCCGAGGTGCGTCCTTCGCAATCTCGCACAAGCCCTCATACTCAAGGACCTAGCCTATTTGGGTCTGGAAATGGCACAGCGACCCATCCCTTCACCTCAGTTGGCATTGTGATAGTCCCGTTAGATACGTACGTGCTCTCCCACTCCTTCATAGTACTCCTCCGGCGCTGAATTTCTCAATATATCGCTAGTGCTATCTGAGCAGCCAGAAACATACCTCCAGCGCGACCCTACTCGCTTCATATACACCGGTGGCTATGTCCCCACGTGCGGATGGCCTACCCTCCCCCCTTCCCTCGCTGAAATTGTTTCCCGAGGGCCAGCGGCTGTTCGACGACATCGTTATCTCGGCGCTCATCCTCGAGAGGAAGAGGCTGACGCCACAGGACACTCGTATCTTGTTCAACTAATCGACCCCGTTGTGCAAACGGTTTTGTGTGAGTTATCTATCTGCTCCGGACTATCACAATGTAGATTATATGCATATGCGGAATCATGCACGGATAATGTATGTCTTAATTTAGGAACCTGCCGCATCTCTTTCGGTATCTGTTGATCCTGGCAGCGTTGCGGCAGCCTCATGGATAAGACAGCATTCGTTGCGTCAAGGAAGTGAAGCCTTACTTTTGTCTTGTCATTAAGATATTGTCTATTGTCCAAGTCACACACAAAGCGCATATATGCACCGATAATGAGGACACGCCTACTTCCATTAACTTAAGTAGCTTCTACTGGTCGTCGAAGTGAGCAGATGCTCAGCACGTCGACAAGATCCCCACAGAATATGCGTCCGTCCCATTGGAAACAAGGCTTGATATTTCCTGGTTCATAAGGTACGAACTTCTCATCATCACAGCAAACGCCAGCGAGGTGGCTCTAAGGACATGTCCGATTTCAACTTGTTTGCATTACAGGCTCTACTAAACACTGCTCGAATTTTTCTTCCCTTCAGACAGAACTGTCCTCCTGTCTTCACATTTTCCAAGGGTGCACTATCGAAAATTTGTAGAGTTGTGAGCTTCCCTGTTGCCGAACTGCTACCTCGACCACGTCCATCGGTCCAAAGTCCAATCATCCTCCACAACTGCGCACGCTTTATCGAAGAAATCCTTATTTGATCGAGATCCGAGATGATGCTCTGCGTCATCGTGGTCACAAGTTGCTCTCCAGTGCCCAGTAAGCATTGAAGCTGACCCACACATATCTCCGCCGTCGTAGCATTTATAGTCTCGCGATCGGGCCACTTGCTCCCATTCACTGACTTATCTTTAGGGGAACACTTGGACGGTTTGACCAACAATGGCAGACGCTATCTTCGAACGAGTAACGGCGAGCAATATGTTCGACCTCCGCGGCGTTGTGGCGGTGGTTACCGGAGGAGGCACGGTATGTTTCAACTCGTTCACAACCTGACGTATGGGGGTTATGTAGTCATTACGCCGGTGCAGGGTATTGGTTTAATGATCAGTACAACTCTGTTGGCAAACGGCGCTGCCGTGTATATAATCGGCCCTAGGCAGACAGAGTTGGACAGGTGAGGCCCCAGTCATATCGGTATCGGTGAATGTGTTCAAACGAGAGAGGGCTCCAGGATCGCGAATGTGTACAACGACGTGGCCGAGAAAGCAAACAAGCCTGGACGAATGTATGGCATTGAAGGTGATATCAGGTACAAGGTAAAAAAACTCCTTGTTCATCGACTTAAGCGTGTATTGTCCTATCACGCGCGGTAGACAGAAGCCTCTCGACTCGCAGAGGAAGTTGGCAAGCGAGAAAAGCACGTTACGGTTCTGTTCAACAACGCAGGGTGATGCCTTCCTTCTACCACTGGATTTACCCCACAGGCTCACCGCAAACCACAGTATCCTGAAAGGGAAATTCGCTGCGCCAAAAGCTGACACCGCGGAGGCATTCCGCGCCGCATTCTTCGACCCCATCAGCGAAGAAGACTTTGATGTTTCGCTCAAAACGAATGCAGTCGGCCCGTACTGGCTAACCTTCGCGTTTCTGCCGCTGCTTGAGAAATGGAAAGAGTACGAGGGTGGTGCGAGGAAGTTCGCGCCACAGGTCATCATGACGTCCAGCATGAATGGCTGGACGAAGGCAAGTGCTCGCGGCCCCGCTCGTCATACCGCATCTTGACCGTGGAGAACGACTGCACAGGACGCGCGTACCTCGGGTTGTTCGTTCCCGTACATGTACTCGAAGTCGGCCATAGGACACGCGACGTCGTCCCTCGCTCACGAGCTGTTGCCCCTCGGCATCCGGGTAAATGGCATCGCCCCAGGTTCGTACCCTCTGTCTTCTGGTGCGCATTTCACGAACGAGGACTCATGCGCAACGGGGGCACCAGGTTTGTTCCTCACAGAGATGTCTTCACCGGGGTCCACCGACTTCATCGGACAGTCGCACATCGCCCCCGGGACCAAGTGGTCGTTCGAGACGCCCACCTCACAGCCGCCCCTGACACAGGGTGGGCCGCCTCAAGTTGGTGGTTCCAATAGAGACATGGGATCGCTCGCGCTGTTCCTGGTCTCAAACTGGTTCGTCAACGGGGAGACCGTCCTCATTGACGGAGGGGTGAGTACTGAAGTAGAATGCTTTTCTGCTCATAAGCTGATAGGACAATTGCCACGGTTGGCCAGACTTTGCTGAAGCACCCATCATCGTACTAAATAATGCTCAGTCGTAAAAGACTGCAGAATAGCATGCAGCCGAATTTTGCTATGATAGAGAGAATGTACTGCACTTGATTTGCATCTCAATCAAGCTCGTGAATATGCGTAAACAATGAGAATGACACGAAATTACGCAGATTTGCACTACGATTAGCTGTTACAATACCGACTAATTGATACATCCCTGATAGTATGTGTAAATGATGATCGTCCAGCACTTGGAAGATACACCGATGAAGATCAAATAAACCTGAACAAAGCCTTTACGAATGAGCCGTGAGCACCTCAAAGTACATCGTGTATTCTTCAGGCGTCATCATCTCTTGATGCTCTTCTGTGATTGCAGACAGCGCCACCGGTTCGCCATTGACTACAGTTATGAATTAGAATCAATGAGTTATCCATAACCACAGCAATCAAGTGGTACAACCCACCATATACAACGGGATCACTAAACGGTTTGCCAGCAACTGCTACATTCTCAAGACTGGTATGTCCGGTCGACGGCGTGGCAGGCGGAGCACTACTATGTTGGCTGCTGCCGGGCGACGACGACGCTGTTACGATCCCATCGCCTAAGAGTCGTGGAGTTTTGGGTATACCGCGCCCTCCGTCTACATCATCTTCCGATCGCGACCTCTTACGATACTCGTTTAGGGACTGCAGATACTCTACGGAGGGTTTCACGTCATCTTCTTCACCAAAATCACTCCCTGCGCCGGGTATATTGGGCGTGTCGTTCGCCGATGGTGCCGCAGAGGCCGCGAGGGACGCATAATACTGGTCGTAATCTATAGCGATAACATAAGAATATAAACACGAAGATGCAAGTGTCTATACTTACAATCTTCTTCTTTTGATTGTGTGATGTCCGGCTTGACGTCTTCATCTGCATCAATGGTTAGAAGATGTGGACCCATGCCTATCATAGTGTCATTGGAGCTCGGTAGCTTGTTGACGCTTGTGCCTTGAACTTCTTGCGCAAGAGCACTTTCTTTGATTCCCAGCGCTGTGAGGTCACCAGAGATAGTACTTTTTAAGTGCCAAGTTGGGAGTGCATTCTGCTGTCTCTTTGCAGCAGCTTCCCGATCACGCTCCTCGCGCCGTGTTGCCTCGTCCTTGTCGACAGATAGGACAATTCCAAATGATTCGTCCTGCTTCGCTTCCCCTGACTCGCCTGCAATTTTCAATCCTCCTCCCGGTCCTGCCGCCTTGGCCTTTTCGGCGTCAATTATATGTGTCTTGATCCACATCGCAACGTCGAACCTAAAATTCAGATCGTCAGAAAAGGATAGAGTTCACGGACGGAGAAACGCACGCAGGGAGCACCATGTCCTCCGTTCTCCGGAGACCCTCACGGAGAAATCGCATCTGCCTGTTGAACCGCTGCATGCGGTCTTGACTCCCACGCACGCTCTCCGCATTCTCGTTCTCGACGACTTCTGCTCGACAAATGTCGCAGATGAACATTCCCGAGGTGAAATCAATCAACTTGTCGGCATCTAAAGGAGAGAACGATTTGCCGCATTGTGGGCAAATGTAGCCCTTATTGTCTAGCTCCTGCGAATGGCTCAGTCAGCGTGCACGCCACCACACTACGGTTAGTACATACATTCCGGAGCGACGAGTCAATTATTCGCCGCATCTCGGCTACGCGCCATTTGACAACATTACAGAAGTGCTGGTAGTCGATGAAGTAATATTGCCTCCCAACCGACCTTTGAGCACCCTCCTTGAGCTCATTTTGCCGGTAACTACGAGGGTCAGTACGAAAGAGACCAGAAACTGCGCCCTAACTCACATTTTGACCAAGCGATCAGACTCCAACACAGCCATGATTTTATTCAGCTCCTTGAGCTGTAGCCCCATCCGTCCCGCTAGATCGTCGTCTTTCAGACTGACGAACCGCGCGCACTACCGGTTCAGCGAAAGTCAGCGATACAACTCTGCGTGCACTTACACCGGATGCCGGACTAATTGGTCCATGACCACGGTGTACTTTGGCTCGTAGAACGCCCGCGAGACGTGCTGTACCAGTAGGCGCAGCGTTTCTTGTTCGTCTTTGTTCAGCGTCGACATCTGGGCTGAGACTCGCTGGAAGCTGTGTGCGACTGTTGCGAAATGACGTTTTTCTGCGCAAAAGCGAGCTCAGTTCTAAAATGGCGAGTGGCGATGGTGGTGGTCGAGTGAAGAGGACGACAGTGAGCGGGGAAGAGAGAAACGCCCATGAAGACCGTGGCACGTTATGTAATCTTGGCGCTGTGCTTTCTGCCTTGTCACGGTACTACCACCGAAGAGACAGAGCTGAGTCAGTTTGCGCATTTTGACCGCAAAACTCTCACTGTTATCCTCGAAAGACTTCCATGGACCATGCTAATCTGTTCATTGTGTCACTCGAAACAGTATTTCCGCGGAAAACGTGTGGCAGCATCAGCAAACTCTGACAGACATAACTTACAGAAGATGGCTGCGTATGATCACTACGCTCAGGCTTGCACATGAACCACAACCATCTCCTGTGATCGATCCGCTCCCCATCTCCTTAGATACCCACACCACTGTTGATAGCCATGAATCCACAGGCAATCAACATACACCGCGGCTTCCCGCCTTCAAAGCGGAAGGTCTCCATATCAGTCCGGAGCCATATCGAGAGCTTGGACGCCGGGCTTACTTCTGTTAATGGTGCGTACACGCCCCTTCCTTTTTTCAACTTTGACCGCCGGGCTAAACTAGAGCCCCTCACCCAGGCGCGCTGGAGGTCATCTCTATGATTCAGTCGCGACACCTCGTCACGAAGCTCATTCTCGGACACAACGAGCTCGGCGACGACGGGTGTGAAGTTTTGTTCGATTACCTTATCTCTGAGGCAGGTTGCGGACATGGGATTCTGGAGATAAGCCTGAATTCGAATCAAATTAGCGACCGTGGTCTGTACTCTATTTCCCGGTTTTTGCAGAACAATACTTCACTGCGGAAGCTGTTCCTGCAGAACGTAAGTGTATGTACAATACACAGGATTCACACTCTTGAACTTGATTGCAGAATGCGTTTGCAGGCGACCCAGCCGTCGTCGCCGCCTTAACAGTGGCGCTCAACTCCTCGCATCTTGACACGCTCTCCCTCACGACTAACCCACGACTCTCAGATAGCTTCATCGCACACCTCTTACCCACACTCGACGCTCCATACCTTCGCGAGCTCCAACTCTCCGTTCTCGGGCTGACGCACACTTCCTCTCCCTATATCATTGAGTATATCTCCTCACCCCGCTGCCAGCTGACTACCCTCAAGTTGAACGGGAACCGCATCGGGCTCCGTGGCGCTCGCGGAATTGTTCGCGCGGTGCACCGTCACAACTTTACGTTGTCCACGCTCGAGCTGTTCGCAAACGGGCTCGTCGATGCAGAGGTCGACACTTCGAGCGAGACTGCCGCAAGCAGCGAAGACGACGATGCCATCCGCACAGGCGCAAGATCAGTACTCTGGCGAGACGGGCAGAAGGAGCTTGCGCGCATCCTCCTGCGCAACAAGTATCTCGGCACGGTGACCCAGCGAGAGGCCTTTGTGCTACTCAGGTACGCCCGAGCATTGCTTCTGCGCTCGGGAACCCAAGGTAGTATAGTGGAGGTCCCATCAACGGAAGCTCTCCTGCAGACGATCGGATCCGTGTTTGACTTGGTACCGTCGTCTGCGTTGCTTGCTCCTGCACGCGCGTTCCCGTTTTCACGCTTGCCGATGGAGCTGCAGCTATACATCTTATCGTTCCTTGCGCCCACACTGTCGTCCGCACAGCGCATCCGCGTGTGCACGTACGCGGCATCCCTGTCGACGCTTCCGTCGTTGCTCCCCGCGCTAATTTCCAGGCAGACGATGTCTCGCTCTTACGCCTCGACAATGCCGCTTGGTGGCGTAGGACTCGGCGTCGGGATGATGCTGCGGAAGCGACACAGTTCTGTTACCTATGCGGGTGCTAGCCACGATCCGGCGATTTCTCGTCGAGATGAGGAGCGGGCAAAGTGGCTGATGCTTGTTAGATGCAATGCATTTGAGCTGGAGGACGATGCGATCTGGAGCAAGGCTGATTGCAATAGGATGTAAACGTCAGCTCCCTCGTCTTGCCTATGATCAACTACCGAGGTCACTGGGCCAACTCCTACCTTCCACTTATCCACTTATCCACCCCTCATTCAATTTTGTGATAGACATGACACACGATCGCCACATCAGAATGCGACATCGGGATCGCCCTCCCCCACATTAGCGATATTTCTCATGCCCGTATTCTAGTCTCTACAGTCCTTGCCATTGTGTGGATTTGTTACCATTTGTCGTTTTGTACGTACGCCCTTCTACATTGTACTCCGTGATAGCACAGACTATGCACCATCGGGATGCACAAAACTCAATGCAATTCGCGTTCTCAATACAATTCAGTAACATCAACACCAAGACAATTTATTGTATACTAAGAAGGAGACAAGTACGATACAAGGCAAGGCAATCTGCAAGTTGGAATTGGTCGGCTCTTCATCTAGAAGATATGATCATGCGCAATGGGGATATCACGGCAATGATCAACAGAAGCAAATGGATCCGTTGAGTGCAGATTCTCAACCCCTCGCACTTGTCTAGACCAATGTTTTTCGGCGAGTGCACCCCGCCATTCTCGACTGCTTGCCCTCGTGTGCCCTTCGATGTCTGCATTTTTTCTCGCGAAGGGAAGTTATGGCCTATCGTGTTCGCCGAGGTGAGAACATACCGTTCTACGCGTATGGCCTAGCCTACACCTTCACACAATTTATTGCAGATAATTCTGCAGTGAGGTCAGCTTGTACACCATTCACAGAGCTACCGAAATTGCTTAGCCGTCTCCGCATTGCATAAATACCTGTGTGTATGCTCCCAAATCCCCATCTCAGAGTCTTCCGGACGAGCTCAGCAGGACTGTATACAGCGATTCGTCACCATGTTGTTCACGCTGAGGTGAATCATACCATTCAGTCTACTAGTTCACTGAGATGAATTTCAATGCAGCATCATCTCCACGATTGTGTCACTCGCATCTGCGCTAATCCTCGACACGCCTTCCTCGCAGTGGTACAGCGGGGAAGAGGTTACAGTAACCTGGCAGGAGCAGCCCACTGGGGACCCTGTCTTCACTCTTGTGTTGGCCAGCTCTGTAACCCATATCGGTTTAGCGATCGCCGGTGATGTCGCTCCTGCGTTAGGGTCTCTTGCTATCACGGTGCCTGATGTTCAGCCTGGGTACGTGTGCATTGCACTCACCGGAAAACGGTATGCTCATCCGGCTATTAAGATCATATGTCCTTGAGGCAGTCAACGTGACGTGAGTGATCAAATCTGTACAACAGTACATTTACAAATCGCTGCTTACACATGATTGACGAATAATGGCAGGAATGATTCAGACATTTACGCGGAGACTGCTTCGTTCGACATCTTGTAGGCTACAGACTGGAGTGGGTCGCATGCAAGCATGCCCCAGTATGATTCGGATTTCGCGCGAAATTGGAGTGTGCTTCCTGATTGTACATTGGTTGCAGCAATATGATTCTGCCATTCTCTGAAAAGGCTCTCGCTCTCGTCGGCACGCTCGTCGTACCTATGAATTTATCTCCCGTAGGCAGCGCTGAAATGACAACATCTAGAGTGGAAGGAAAACCGTCGTTGTAATCACTATACCAGCCGCTCTTTGGTTATCTCGTCAGTACGGACAAGCTTCGACTCCACCGAACGGTTCTATTTCACCATCTGTCGCAGGAGGCCGTGATCGCCATAAAGCATAGGCAAGGGTAGCCCTTGTGCAATCGCTCGATGATTTCTGCATGCGTGGATCATTCCCATGAAGGCGACTGCAACCCCAAGTCCCACGTCGGTCTTGCGTTCAGCGCTTCAGGCCGTTCCCCATCATTCTTCGCTCTCCACGAGCACAGCTACACTTCGTAGTAGTGCATTGCGAACAACCGCCATCACGCGATAAGGCTAGGGTGGCCTCGTCGAACGTATTTGAGCGCACATGCCAATGATCTTCTGCACATAAATGTGACTGGTGAAGATCTTCGCCGTGTCCCTGACATCTCCTCGCTTCAATTCTTCACGGCTCGAACCACTTCTCGACTATCTTCGTTCGGGTCCAGAAAAATGATATCTAAACTGAGGTCAGCTCACCCAATACCGCCTCCAAACCAGGCTGGACTTACATGCCATTTTCGTGTAGCGCTATCTGCTCACTCATCTCTCTGGCGTCCGTGCTGCCCCTAGACACCCCTTCCGGCCCATGGTCAGCGGGACGGTGGTCACTGTCACCTAGCAAACGGAACCGGGCGACTCTGCTTTCTCCATCTTGTTAAGCAGTCCCACCTACACCGATCCGTTTGCACTAGGTGCGTACGTCGCGTCCGCCCAGGGGTCCATTGATCTTCAGGTTCCCAGCGTCCTCACAGGGTGCGTACCCTACATGAACGAATGTGACTTTGGAATGCAATCTATTGACCGTTTCGACACGCAATTTTTGTCATCGCAGAGAATACTATTTAGAGGCTGTCAACGTTACGTGAGTTGTATTTTCTTAAGGGTCAGTCTGTACGCAGCTAATGCAAGAGCATCCACCAAACTTAGGGACGCGAATGTGGTGTATTCCGAGACCGCCGAATTTACGATCGACGGTAGTACGCCGGAAAACAGAATTCGGGGTTGCCCAGTGAGCGATGACGATAAACTATCGTCCAATGGATGCAACAGAAGATGGGCTCGGAGGTGGTACAGGCTTTTGTCTAATATGATCTCCACATACGGAGATCTGGCAAAATCCATCCAGAGTAATCGAATTGGTGTGCAATAGTGTTTGAGAGACCACTGGCTCGTATGTCCGCAAATGAGCACGGTGAACGAGTATTGATGGGATAACGTCTTGTAAGATATCTCCGACTGCTTGTGCGAGCTCTACCACCTAAAGTTCGCTCAGTGCATGCGCTGTATATCATTGCTATATGGAAAAACACATACGATTGTGTAGTCTGTGAGGGTTATGGTAATATGTCATGGGAAAGATATCAACTCTGCACACAAGTCGTGAATTGACCTTCATGCCCGAATACTTGTCATCAACAAGAATTAGATGACGGATCATCGATCTTCGAACACTGTCGCTGCATGAGACATCGAGAGCACTCTACTACATGCAGTGGACACGCATATAACCATCGCACGCGATTTGGGTAACAATTGGATGCAACTGGAGAGTGATGCCGCCGGCTAGAGCCTCCGCTGAGACTCAAATCAGCTTCAATGATACGTTCCCACCACACAAATCTCGTGACAATGTCCATAAGCAAGAACTGATAGACTTCGACTTCCTGCTAGTAAACATGGGTCATATTACGTGCAACAGGATGCATTCTTATTCTGGAAGACCATTATAATCAGTACAATCAGTGTAGCGTCATCCCGCAGGAAGGAAAGCAGCGAGGGAAGGCTTGTATACTATGAAGACCGACGAGCGTTTGTTCCTAGACACCGCACGTCAATGGGATCTTCCGACTGAATTGCTGGATGGTCGATCACCAGTACTAAGTAATGAATATTTGAATGTCGGACGCGGGACCTCAGTGCCCCATACTTAATAGGAATGGAAGGCTGTCTGTAGTCTTGTGACTGCAGCGCTTGCGTAAGTAGTGGTAGATGTGAAGAGTGAAGAGAATTCTCTCTCACCTTCGTATTCCTGAGCGGGGCCCGCAAGGCATCGGACACAACAGTGAACACAGGCCACCTAAAGGCGTTAGCCTGACAATATGTGAAGCTGCAGTCCCCGACTTTCATAACCGAGCCAGAAACAGTGCGTCAGCACGGTTTTTGGCTCATCAGGTTTGAGTCGGAACAGCATGTAGAACCATGCCTTTCGCGACCCGTGCTGGACACATACTTTTCATGCTGAGAATCTGGCGCCGAAGTCTCCTCTGGAAAGCCTCCGGGATGACACTCTTCCACACTGGGATTAGAACAGACGACGAGGGGAACATCGGCATCCAGTCTGCAACACACAAACAAAGAAGATGGCGGACATTGCCAGACTGACGGCGGAAATACTGCCATAGACAGTAATCAATCAAGACCTGTGTGTTTGGCATGGCAGACGCCTGGCAGGGAAATGAGCTCGAGGGAAGATGTGAGCAACGTGCGTCCAATTGGAGGCGCTCTATTATGCAACGATTCCCACCTCGCACGCCTTCCGAAACGTCTGGCTCGTCATCTGGGGCTGCACTCGCCGGCGGTGAAGGGGGCTGGGAGACTGCGGAAGCACGAGAGGAAGGGACACAGGGGCGGAGACGAGTGAGGCGCCGGAGGAGAGGAGGACGAAGAGCGTGCGTGTGCTTGGCTCAGCCACTTTCCTCGCGCATATACAAATGACGCCTCCTCTCCAGCTGCGCCTTCTCCCTCCCGCTCTCCTTCGCCGCTCTCCCCCACTTTACATCTCTCCTTGGTCTCATTTTTAGAGTCTCTTCATGAGCGACACACCCGTCGGACCCCTTCTCAAGACTGTATTCCAGGTCCGAGTCCACTCGTGTAAATCTCGCGCATATACTGATAGATTTCCGTACAGTCTATACTCGAGGTTGTCATTGTCTGTGTTGCTGGATATGTACTCGCGAGACGAGGCGTGCTTGATAAGAAAACTCAGAAGGTGTGTACTATTTTCTTCATTGCTTCACCAATATTCAGTCCGTCCCGGGATCTCGGGCCAACAGCAACTTAATCGGCTGAACATCTCCCTATTCACACCCTCCCTACTCTTCTCCAAAGTCGCCTTCTTCTTGTCACCAGGTGTGTAGAATGCGTTCTCCACGCATCCTTAGCTCACCGCAGCGTCATAGCAAAACTCCGTGAGCTATGGATCATCCCAATATTCTTCGTGATTACTACCGGTGTCTCAATGATTGTCGCGTTGGTGCTGGGATGGATGCTTGGACTTAAGAAAACTCAGAGGTGCGGTCAATTTTACTTCATGCCGTTTGCACTACATTCGGAGCCCCTACCCTTGCTCTTTGGTTCGGCTCTTTGGTTGGATGGAGACATGATACTTTTCGTATTCAGGCATTGGCTATGCGATCGTCCTTAGTATATCGCGAGCGAATGTGCAGTCTTGGCCAGACTTGTCGATGAATTGCATCGTGGCGCTCCGTTGTTTCCACTGGCTATATGCTTATCAATATCTGTCGTCACAGGAACTTTGCTGTCGCCGCCGCAATGTTCATGAACTCCAACTCGTTACCGATTGCGCTCATGCAGAGTATGGTAATTACTGTCCCTGGACTCAAATGGGGCCCCGATGACAACTTTGATGCCATGGTTGGGAGGGCGCTCACCTATCTCGTCCTCTACTCCACTCTTGGCATGATCGTGAGTGCTCGATGTTCCCTCAAAGTATCCTGCATGACGATGCTTTGTAGGTTCGATGGAGCTATGGTGTCCGCCTGCTATCAAGCGCTGATCCAGAGGGTCCTGCCGTGGCGGAGGCCCCTGCCCCCACCTCCCTTATCGGCGTGGAGGAGTCCGTATTTCGAACTTCGCAGGAAGATGGCTTACGACATGAATCACCCACGCCCTCTGAGGAATCCGATGACGCGAAGACACTAGAGCACGGCCACGATTTCGATCGCTTTGCTGATCCCAAAACCGCGTCATCGCCCGCATCGCCTGCGCTCACGCACTTGCAGCGCCCACTCGCGTCGACGTCGAGTGCACCGTCGATGTACCACGAGGACGAGGACGACGCTCCTGACTCGCCCCTTCTCCCTCGCCCTCCGATCCTCGAGCCTACCTCGACGCTCTGGCAGTCGCGAGTGCGGCGCACGCGGCATCGACTCCGACGGGGGTGGCACGCGCTCAACGGATTCATGACAGTTCCACTTTGGGCGTCGCTCGCGTCGCTCGTCGTCGCATGCATCCGGCCGTTGCAGCATGCACTGGAGGCACACTTGCAACCCGTCAAGGGCGCTCTGACTGCTGCAGGAAACTGCTCGATCCCGGTCACGCTCGTTGTCCTCGGTGCGTACTTCTACACTCCGCCGGAGTCCCAGGAGATGGAGGGGCGAGAGCGGGAGCGGGAGCGCCGGGCCCTGCCGTCGTACTGGACGCGGTCGCGGAGCCCGAGCAGAGCATCGCGTGTGTCGCTGATGGAGAACGTGCGGGATATGTTCAGGCTGCGAAGGCGAGACGATAAAGCGCGCGCGCAGAAGAAGCCCGAGGCCCGCCCAGGAGAGACGAAGACGGTGCTAGTAGCGGTCCTCTCTCGGATGTTTATCACACCATTGCTGCTGCTGCCCCTGATGGCGCTGTCAGCTAAGTTTGACCTGCAGGAGGTCTTTGATGAGTGCGTGCTGAGAGCCCGTTCTGTGCCCGTTCTAACTGCCCGTTTTTTGCAGCCCTGTCTTTGTCGTAGCGAATGTGCTCCTGATCGCGTCGCCCCCTGCGGTGACGCTCGCGCAGATCACACAGGCTGCGTCCGGCGACTCATTTGAGCGACTCATCAGCCGGACCATCTTCTGGTCATATTGCGTCGTCACTCCACCATCCACGATTATTGTCGTCGTTGTCGGTTTGCTTCTGTCCAAGCTTTGATTGCTGTATTATATTCGCTTGCTTATCCTGATTACACGCTTGCATTTTGGTTATACCAATTCCCTAGGTCTCGTACCTTGGGGTGTAGTGCAGAGACATATCAAGCACTTGATTCGAGAGCGAGAACAAGACGCCTGGGCACCAGTATCAGCGAGCATGAGTTAGATGCGCTCAAACGTATTCTGATAGGAGTACTGTACAATTGACCGGTGTAATTCAGTTAAGACATGTCGAGATTTGAATCAGATCGTCTGATAGCGATATAAACACATTTGTGAAGTCGAATGCTTTAGATTCGGGCATGTAGTTATGCGACCCATTCCTGTCTGTACCCTACAAGATTTTGAACAAAGCAGTCTCTGCATAAATGTCTGAATTATTCCTGTTATTCGTTAATCATGTGTAGTAAGCGGTGATTCGTAAATGCACTGTTACACAGATTTGATTACTCACGTCACGTTGACCGCCTCAAGGACGTACGATCTAGAATAGTCGAATGAGCATGCCGTTTGTCGATGAGTGCAATGCACACGTACCCAGGCTGAACATCAGGCACCGTGATAGCAAGAGACCCTAACGCAGGAGAAATATCACTGGCGATCGCTAAACCGATAGGGCTGACAGAGCTGGCCAACACAAGAGTGAAGACAGGATCTCCAGTGGGCTGCTCCTGCCAAGTCACAATGACGTCTTCGCCGCTGTACCACTGTGAGGAAGGCGTGTCGAGGATCAGCGCAGATACGAGCGACACGATCGAGCAGACGACGCTGCATATTGTGTCAGCGAATTACTAGTTTGAAAAATCGTGAAGGGGACGAATCACCTGAACCTGTTGAACAACATAGTGCGTGAAGATCCCTGTGAACAGCTGCGCCGAGCCGTGGGGAGCTTAGAGACGAGGATTTGAGAACATACGCACAGGTATTTATATAGCTAGGGTGTGTTCTGCGGATATTGTGCAGCCTGGTCTTAGTACGCAATTATCCGCAGTCACTAGAAAGGTACGGTGGTGATGGGAGGCTAGGCTTCAGGAATCGTACTATAATGGTCTCGCCTTGCCGATGCGAAAGACCATGACCTCCCTTTACGCGAAAAATGCGGAGAGCAAAGGGCACATGCGGACAAACAGCCGAGAACAAGGGGGTGCACTCGCCAAAAACTGTGGCCGAGGTAGGTGCGAGGGGTCACCAGTGACTGGCCGAAAATGTGCGCTTAGCAATGATAAACTGACTTGAGGTTGAGACCCGCAGAGCAGCTGATGGCGAAGAGTATCTTGATTTTCTCACAGAAATGCAAACCTGGGCCGATCTGATACCGCTATTGAGTGGAAAGAGAGGACCATCATCCTCCTAGGGCCCGCGCCTCAATATCGTGCCATTTCAGACGCTTCCGAGCCTGAATCTTTTTGTTATTGACCTCCACGCGCATGTTATAATAGTACACGCTTTGATGAAGTCCTTCGGTGAGCTCTAACTGATAATACCCGCATTTCAAGGTGGGTCCAACGAGAGTGAGAGCCTACTCGAAAGATGCAATCACATTGTCGTAGCTAATGTGAACATGGTTAAGAAGTGTAGTCCAATTTCGCGAGTGCCTCGAACTTGGACGTGCATGTACGCGAACCACTTAAATCAGCTCTCTACAAGACTTCAAACGAAGCCGACTCCGCATAGACGTCATTGACGTCCCTGCCATCCATCGACAGTTTGTGAGCGACAATTCATAAATCAGCTGTTCTATATATTTTGCCACTCACGTCACGTTGACTGCCTCAAGGACGTACGATCTAGAATGTCAAAATGAGTATTTTGTCTGTCGACAGGTGTGATACATACGTACCCAGATTGAACATTAGGCAACGTGACAGTAAGATGTCCTGAAACAGGAGAGACATCATCGGCGATCGCATAGCTGTCACCACCGACAGCGGAGCTAGTCAACAAAAAGGAGAAAACAGATGGTTCTTCAGTGTTCTGGTTCTGCCAGGTTATGGTGACCTCCTCATCGCTGTACCACGGTGTGGAGGGCGTATTGATGATCAACGCAGACGCGAGTGACACGATCGAGCAAACGACACTACGTTAAAATCTCAAGTCAGCAGACCACCAGTTGGAAGACCATAAATTATAAGTCACCTAAGCTTGGTGAAGAACATGGTGCAAGAATCTCCGTGAACACCTGCGCTGAGCTCTGGGGAACCTGGAGATGGAGATTTGAGAGCATACGCGTAGGTATTTATGCAACACTAGAGAGCGCTGTGCATGTGTCATGGTTCTGCAAATATTGCGCAAATTGATCCCATCACGGAGCTGTGGACAATGTATTCAGTCAAGGTCGCAGCAGTGATGGGGGAGCAATAGGTCTTACCTCGCCGAATGTGGAAGGCCATAGCTTCTCTCTACGAGGATGCGGATATCGAAGGGCATATGAGGGCAAATTGTTGAGCATAACGGGATGTATTCGCTGATAAAACATTGGTCGAGGCAAGTGCGAAGAATTGGGATCTGCGCCTCAGAATACAATACAGGTTCGGACCCGCTGATGTTCTCACAATTAAGCGAACCTCCACCGTTTTGACAACGCTAGTAGCTACTGCGCTGCCAGTAAGTGGAAACAAAGGGCCGTCCTAGACGCGCCTCGTGTCATGCCAGACGCTTGTATATTTGAGTATCATGACTGTTGGCCTCTATGCTTATGACATAACCTCTGGCATAAACCTGCTGGTCATAAAGATAGATTGGTGAGCAATATTGTGAGACCCGAATCTCCAAGCCTCGTACCTTAGGGCTTAGTGTAGGAGCCGTGAAGCACTTGAATGAGAAGAGACGCCTGGACACGACAAGAAATCATCAGCGCGTATGAACTCAGATACATTTTGATGAGAAATGCAGATGTCATACAGCCGACCGGCTGGATATAGTCTAATACTATTAGAACACGAGACCTGGGACTCAGAGAGGAAGCGAGAGAGGCCTCACCAGCATCCAATAGCTCAGATGACTACCCATAGGGAAGGCGTGGCTGATCAATACGCGATTCACTCATGTAGAGATAAATGCATCGAGTGTCGCTCAACAGATCCACTATTCATTCGAACAAAGGCACGAAAGAGTCGTATTCGTGCGCATACACCGACCCGAGGAAGAGAACTACTCACAAGCAACTCGAAGGCATATTGTATTACTTGCAGTGCACAGACACGCATCTAACCAGGTCGCTCATGGGGCCCATCAAGATTTGATCCTCAAACACTCTCAGTTCGAAACGCTCCAGTGTATATTTGATGCAGATCCTCTGTTAGATCTTGTCCAGTGTACGGCTAGACGTGGGTGTTGTGAAGTGGGATACGCCAGTCCGGAGCCGAAGACGGGCTGCACGCATGAGAATAGAGTTGAGGTTACAATAAATTAAACACACCTCGCAAACATCATGACCTCCAAGCCAAGTTTTGGACCTCTGCCATTGAATACATGTTGGGAAATGAATGATCTGGATTGTAGGTGCTCGCTAGAATGTGTTGTTTCAAAATACCAACTCAATAACACATGCGAGGTGGAGCGATACGGGAAGACAATTCCAGGAGCAGCGGAACTTTCATAGCCTGACCATGGGCTTGCACCTTCGTCTAACCTGTCCGATCGGACTTGGTGCCACTTTAACAGAAGGACTGTCTAGTGCGTCTGTATCCGCGACCATTACCGCCCTTCATCACTTACGTGGCATATGTTCCGAAGCGGGCCGCGCATGGGCGTCAGTAAAGTCTCTGCCATTGATGGTGATTAGTTGCACACATACCGTTGGTCTCGCAACACGTCGAGCCACTCACGTCAACCTGATTGTCTTCGTGATATACGAATTCAAAAGATAAAAGAAAAACTCCAGGGTGCTCCAGGCGATGGTGACCTCGCCGCTAGCGACCCTTTACGTCGAAGGAATATACAGAATCAGAGCTGATGTGAGAGCGAGAGGCGGGGAATTGTGCTACTTTATCATGATGCGTGATGAAAGGGCCCCAAAGACGCCAGGGATACAGGCCTGAATTTGAGTGACAGTATATAATCATACATAAAGACGCGTGCAAAAGTTGAAGATAAAGATCGGGTGAAGTTTGGGATGCGGACGTACAGATATGTATGCATATAGCGTACCTTTGTGTGCTGCATTTGTCGCCTGCTCACCCTGCGAGTGAACACCACCAGGTATTTTTTTTCTTCTCACGGAACGAATTTTTATCTTGATAGACGCTTCGGCGGTACGCTGCATTGCGGGCTGACAAACGCAATTGTCACCTCACTTCTATCGGGACTTTGCAAGAACGTCCATACAGTCGAGCACGCACACAGAAACGGCGCGTCAGCTCGAGGTCGAAGGGCGGCCATGGCATGTCAGCTGGGTCGTTGTTCTCAGGTGTGGGCATAGACTCAGTGTTACGCCATGTTCAGCGCAAAATAGCGCCGTTGATTAATACTCCTGTATCACACATTCTGATAGAACATGGACGGCCTAATGTTTGAGCGCGGCTTGATGAAGAGTAGGCGGAGTCTGTATGTGAAAAGATGGTAGCATAATCACCGCACGTGAATAAAGTGACTACTTGCTAGGCTAATTGTATTCATCGACTTTCCGAGCGCGCATGACACGCACATCCTGAATAACCTGTAAACACTTTCACAGAAAGTCAGACCCAATACAAAACTGGAGTACACATCGAGGCGGTCACGCATCGCTGAGACATACATATCTTGTGGTACGATGCAGACCACTGCAGGAGCAATCACATCCAATCGGTTCCCTGCGTGGAGTAAGTTCTGCTGAAAGACAGCGCCAGTGGGAAGACTTAGTGCCGATACGCACCCGAGACAATGGCAATATCGAGTGAAGCGTTCACCGGCAACATAAAATCAACCGCAGGATGATCTCCTGACCCTTTTGTTGCGTAAAAATGATTCTTCCCACAGA